CTCTCTCTCTCTCTCTCTCTCTCTCTCTCTCTCTCTCTCTCTCTCTCTGTGTGTGTGTGTGTGTCTCTCGAACTGATATACATCGAACGATTATATCATTAGGCTTACAAGTTAGTCATAAATCTGACAGGAAAAAAATAAACTTCTTCTCTCTCCCTCTCTCATTTTGATTCAATAACTGATAAGAGATATTTATCGAAAACGAATGATGATTTTCTTGGGTAAACTGATATGCATTTATGCAATGTACATTATCCTTGACATTATAGCCATCAAGTTCAAAGCGCAATACATCTAACATATACACCGAATATTTTGTAGTAAACAAAAATCAGATGGATACACACCATCGCCGCAAAAAAAGAACACAACAGACCAAATACACACAATCACGTCACAATTCATTCGCTAATGCTCTACTTGTATAATCAATGGATTTTAATACACAAAAATTTCCTCTTTTTTTAGATGTTTCTCTTTTGTAAACGCAAACACAAACAGTGTATTTTTCCCCCTTAAGCACATTGTATTGTATCTGGTGTGTTTTAAACCGATTTTTAAACAAGCATAAGGATCGATGCTTTTTCGCCACATTCGTTTATATTTACTATGAACCCGTAGTATTTACACACGTTTCTTTCTCTTTCTCTGTGTGTATTTTTTTTGTTAAATATAAATGTTGTTTTGTACTTATTTAAAATTGTTTATAATTGAATCGAAAAGCGTCGGAAAATGCGTTCGTCGGTTTTCGTCATTCATGTGAAAAAGAGTGCTACAGTTGGTCTAGGAAATGAATGGGCACGAGCAAGCGAGAGACAGATCATCGCCAGAAATTAATCGGGTTCAAGTGTATTATACTCTCAATCCAATTTGTATACAAAAATAAAATAATGCAATGAATTACGTAAAATCGGAAGAATCGGTTTCATTTTCCAATGTATACACAAAAAATCTGGATACAAACACAACACCATCAGACTGTAGCAGAGTGGATAATAATAATATCAACATAGAAATCTGCATTCAAAAATCTGGTAGACATTATGTCTAGCGCAAAATTGTGTATAAATATTTTTCTCTTCATTACCACCATATTTCGCCTCATTGTAAATATGCTCAATCGGTGAACACACTTAGTTTCTTCTTGTTTCCCCCGTTTCACTTGTTTATGAAAATCCCTAATAATATTTACGTTTAGACCGATCTTAGAGCATCGATCGGGTTCATCGAATGTGTGTGTGTGTGTGTGTGTCTGCTTGTGTATATAAGTTTATTTGTGACGACAGGCAAACACGTAACAAGCACGGCCAATGCACACACAAAACACAATTTACATCAATTTTCCACAAATATAAACAACATTTACTCTAATTAAATTGTTTGAAATTCGATAAATATTAGAATTTCATTGATTTGCATCGAATAAGTGACCTACCCAAAGCGTATCCGCATGAAGGACCTTTTTTCGGCAGGAATTTTAAACAGAATGCATTTATGTGCGACCAAAGAATTCTTATCACACGGTAAAATGTTTTAAGCACCACTTGTCTCTGTCGACATCTGAATACTACGCTGCAAATTCTCCGACGCAAAATTTTTTCTTTGGAATTCCATTCCATGCGAACGAATCATTTTATCCGTTCGAGAATTTGAATATTAGATCGGCAAAATGTCGCACAATAAAATAGAAGATTAGGGATTTGGCCGATTTGACTAAGCCGAAAAATTCGAAATTAATTTGCTCATGTCGAATAAATATGACGATTTTATTGCTTTTCATTCCGAGAAAAAGATTGTGCAAAGAAATCGAGCATTTTCTGGTGTGCATTTCAAAGAAGCGTGGCGTTACTTGCTGCGTCAGCAAATTCATTCACGCCGAAAATCATCAAATCAAGTTGCTACGGGAGCAAATAAATTTATAAAAAAATAACCTTCACGTGAAACGAACCAATAGAATGATTGGCTCCGCCTCCCGTCATAAACGATCACGGTTTGCGTTTACGTGTTTAGGAGCATACCGTCGGTTGCCGTCGCCGCCACCAACATACGTTCAACTCACATCGCACTCCATTTATTTCTTGGTTGCGTTACATTAAATGGAAATAAATCACAGTAAGTGATCGCAATGATTTAAAAACATAAAACACCAGCACACACACTTTCGTAACTTTTAGAATGGTTGGAGCTCCATTGAATGGATTAAACGCGAAATAGCCAGTACCTGATGTGAAAGGTTTAACTACCTATGAGGATATTAAACACCAAATTAAATGGATTATATAAGATGTAGGCAAGTGCAAATGCCAGAGAAATTGATCATTTTAACCATACCGGGGCCATAATTAGGGGCTGATTTATTTCAATGTACATATCGCATGCGAACGAAAAGCGATTCGAAATGAAACGAGAATCACTGATGAAGAAAGAGGGACACATCATTCATTCACATGTGCGCGTTTTTAAGTAAACAACCAATCGCAGCCGAACGCAAGCCAGTTGTATCAAATCACATAGATGGGCCCGCGTTCTCTATTCCTTTCGCCGTACGAGTCTCATGTTCGCTGTACTCCTTTTCAAAATGATGTGTGCCTCACTTGATCAGTTTGTGCTACGAATTCAAGCGATACGGACGTCGATTCCAAACCGTCATAAGCAAAATTCATTCCTTATTCGTGTGTTGTTCACAAACCAAGAGAAACTCAACGATTGATTTTACTTCGATATTTTTTCTTCCACATGAAATGTTATTAAAAATAATTTTAATCGTTTTCTTCTAACAAAAAAATTGGTGATGCAAAAATATTGATACAAAATCAGCAAAATTGACACAAGAGAAAACTTAAAAATCAAAATCATTTCATGGAAGATTCCTAATTTTGACAAAGTGAAACAAAAATTGTGCATTTCCAAAGACTCATTTTACTGTGAATAAGCAAATTACTACGAAAATGATCAAAACACAACCGAATTTTGTTTCGATCCGTGACCAATTCTCAGTTAACTACGAACCTAGTCCCAATGAACACGATGTGAAGCCAATTTTTGCATCGAATCCATATGGTGAAAGCTACATCGATCGCGATCACATGGACGTGAAGCCACAGCCCAACTGGCAGTACCCGGATGAAATACCAGTCAAAATTGAAGAAAACCACAATGTGATTCGCTATCCACAGTATCCAAAATATTCACCGCAAAGTTTTGACACCAAGTATTCCGTGCTACCACCGTTAAATTCAACATGTTTACCACCACCAATCACCACCGAATCCGTTCATTCAATGCCAACGTCGACGATTCGATACGGTGGCACAACGTTGCAGCAAAAGTTCAGCAATATGACAATGCACCAATCGGTACCACAAATTGACGATGCACCATTGCGATCAACGTTGGCTTCAGTGCCATTGGTAACAACGATAACATCGACGACGAAGAGCACAACATCAACGTCTACATCGAATTCGACAAACACCAGCTCAACTTCATCGTCAAATACAAACACAAAAACAGAAACAAAAAAGGGTGCTCGCCGTCCAGAAAAGCCGCCCATCAGTTATATCAATTTGATCGCCAAAGCGATTCGATCATCGCCAACCAATCAACTCACCCTCAATGAAATCTACACATTTTTGCAAAACGAGTAAGTATTCACAATCATTGTGTGAACAGTGTTTTTAGTTGAAAATTGAAAAACGGTTTGAAACAACGCAAACATTTATCTTGATCGGAAAATTACGAGCATTTTATGTGTTATCGGCTTAAAAGAATTTCGGTGATTGCCATAATAGCTCAATTGTTATGCGCTTTTATGATCAAATATCCTCCACGCGCCTTTGTTTTTGGTATTCCAATATTTAGTTTCATAAGCCATCGTCAACGCATCAATTCCATTATTCTGCGTGCCTTTTATTACAATGTGAATTGCGAGACATTGCATCAGTGACACTGACTCAATTGACAATCAAGTGTAACATAATACGCATCTTATTTTCTAAATAATTTACGCCTAGAACTTGTGAATGATTTTTCATAAACAATCATGTTTTAACGTGATATTAGAGAAGAATGCGTTTTTGCGATTATCGTTTGCACTAGTGATGTCATTAATGTAAAAAAGAGAAGAAATAAAAGGTTCCATAAATGACAAATCTCCGTATGAACTAATAGAAAATAGAATGCAAAATATCGGAAATAGAAGATAGAAAAACTGGAATGTGTATCGTTGATAAAAGTGTGTATGTGTATTATTAATTTGGAATTTATCGTATTGCAGGCATCAATTTTTTCGCAGCGACTACATTGGATGGAAGAATTCCGTACGTCACAATTTATCGCTAAACGAATGCTTCCTGAAAGTCAACAAAGTAATAAACAATTTTTTCTATGACTCATTGAGTTTTATCCCTCTAATTGAATGTGATGGTTTTTCTGGATGCAGGAACAGAGCAATGGATTGGGCAAACCCGGAAAGGGTCACTTCTGGACGATAGATCCAAAATCGAATCATGAATTTCAAGAAGAAGGAAGTTTACGTCGACGCACTCGTGGCTTTCGTCGGCGCCAGCAAACAAAATCATACTCACAGCCGTACACCCATTTCCCCGTTTACTGCGATTATCCCAACACTCGAACGGATGAACGCAACGAATTTCCGGTGAGTTTTCGTCAAGTGTGAAAATAATAGATAATGAAGACTCTTCACTAAAGAAGCAATTGATTTTAAATCCTTTGGAAAATTATCAGAAATATGGACACCATTTATTCAACCCTCCATTTATACAGTCCAACTAACGATTTTTTGTTTATTCAATTTCAGAATTCAAATTACTATACAGATCAATACGCTCCATATGCACCACAAGGATACCCACCGCACGGTGCCTACCATTCGACCGACGCTTACCACTCAACTGATGCCTCAGGTGCACCAATGCATGCTCCACGATACACATTCGATACATCAGGTTTGTATTTGGTTTTATTTCATAAAGAGAGACTAGCTTATTCCATCTTCCCATTCAATCAATAAAAACGATTTTGATCCATTGTCCGTTTTAAACCATTTAATTTATTTGAATTCGCAGTTTTTCGCGATTTTTCTTTTTTTCACATGGATATTTGTGCATTCAGTAAAGAATTTAGCTTTTTGAATCCAATTTGATAAATGTTCGATTAATTTTGATTTTTTTCTCCATGATTTCAGCTTTCCCGTCGGCATCGCTTCCGATCTATGATCAAAAGTACCATCAACCGCTGTACAATGAAGGTGCCAAATATTAAATTGATTACATAAATAGAAGAAAAAAAACGAATAACGATTCGAACAAAGAACGAAGCCAAAACGAAAACAGACCAAGAAACCGCAGACCATGCGATAAAACATACTCCATTTTTATGAAACTATAGCAGTAAATTAGATTTTAAGTAACAACCAGATTTGTATGAAGCATGAAGCTTGAAACTCAAAAACACTTTCAAAATTAATTGGGTGTTGACATTTTTTTTTACAAATAAAGAAAGGACATGAACTATGTTCTATGTTCAACTCATGCAATGATTGTTCTCATTCCCACTATTCGCATTATTCCAGAAGTTTCTTCTAAGCTTCATCTCTTTTTTTTTCGCATTCCAAATGATTCGAAACGGTGAGTAGCTGAAACAAATCAAATGCAAAGAAAACTGAACTTGAATTTGGCGCGATTGCCTGATGAAAACACTTGCACGAATGTTCCGATTCACGTGTAATGGTTGCAGATGGCGTTGTGGGTCTGTCAATCCGGTTGATATTTCATATGGCCCAACATACAGTTCATATGGTTAACGGTTGAGGTCGCTCTTTATCGATGTGGCTGAAATTTGTTCGCATTTTTTTACGAAGCAAAAAGATAATCGTGAGTTTAATTTGGCTGTCCAACCAGCAAAAGTGAATTATTTGTATTACGAAGCAGTGATAAACACACGCATTTTTTTCTAAAAAAAATAAAAACCCAACAACTAAATAACACATTTGAGCTCTCCATTTTTAACCGAATGCTAATAAAAAATGGTCATAAAGGACTTGCAATGTCCATATTAACGTGCCATGGATCAAAGTAATTTGGTGAGTGAAACACATTTGATATTTTTGTTTTCCATTTTTGAAAAACGTACATGCCGAACACACAAATATCACATTGACTCATGAATTACACACTTCTATTTCGATGTCATTTTCGAACGAATTCTATCGCCTATAAATTAGTTTGTGCTTATATGAAAAATATATATAGATAGAAAGAGAGAGAGAGAGAGAGAGAGAGAGAGAGAGAGAAAGAAAAAGCGACGAAGAAAAAAGAATATCAAATATATGAGAATCGACAAGCGGACTTTAGCAGCCAATTGATTCATGTTCGAAAAATGAAAAGAGAACGAAGCCACCTTAGAGTTGCTTGAATGTGAATCTCGAGTTATTATTTTCTTTTGTCATGTTGTGTTTGATGGAAAACAAATCAAACCTCCGAGACACATAGGCTATAAATCAAAGTGAAATAATATTTCGGTAAAATGCATTGCAATTTAATGTTCTGAATAAAAAAATCAGTGAATAATCTACGAAACGGAGAATCCACACCGATCAACAATGTGCACATAGAATTCTCATGCAATGGATATGATTCAATGAAATCTTCATTTTTTCTGCTGTTATTTTGTATTGAACGACGGAGCAAGAGAGAGAGAGAGATAGAGAGAGAGCTAAAGAAAAAAAGCACATTTTTTTTGTCATTTTTGGAACCGTCATCCGAAGCACCACATCAAAATCAAGTTATGTGTGGTGTGTGCCTGCCTGCCAGTTTTGTGCGCGTGTATGTGTGCCCGATTTCAAAATCACATCATTTTCAGAATGGTTTTTTTTGGTTGTATTCGATTTTCGAAAATTTTCTTTTCGCTTGACTCGGTGAATTTTGTTTTGCTAATTGATTAGTTGTCATATCATGTTATGGCATTGCGGTTTAAAATTCTTCTTTTCCGAATTTCCGTCCGGTTCATTTTTGTTGTTTTTTATTTTTTATTTTGTCGGTGATGTGATGTGAATGTGTGTGTGTTTGTGTGTGTGTGTGAGTGAGTGAATTTACAATCCGAAAAATTCTATTTTGTTAATGTATAGTGGCCAAATGATTATAGAAATAATATAAATTATGGATGACAATTAGAAATGAGCACGTCTGATTTTGTGCAATTGTGTGCGTGAATGTATGTGCCGTGCGTGTGCGACACACAGTATGCAATATATTAAATGCCAACATTCGACTAACCAAGTAGAAAGACTTGATTTATTACAGATATTCGCCTTTAGTTTTTTTTCTCTTCATTCTTGTGCTGCTGCTGATTCTCTCATAGTTTTTTTTCCCGTCTTCTGTATGTTCGAGAAAGAAAGAAATGTGTTTGTGTGTGTGTGCGTGAATCGGTGAATTCGTGTTCTTCAATTCGTTCTTCTTGGCCGTACGGTCGTGAACTGCCACTGGTGTGAGTGCATACCATTGCTTGAGCACCGAACTTGTATTTGACCGTGTGTGTGTGTGTGCATGCTTGTGTGTGTGTATCTTTGACGACTCTTTTTTTTCCTTCTTCTGTTTCAAAAACAACAACAAAAAACGAATTTAATTATAGTATATATTTGATTTTCTCATTCGGTTGACTGTGTCAGAGTGTTGTTTTGTGCTGTGTATTGCTTTCCTTTCTTCAGTTTATTATTTATTTTTTTCTGTGTTTCTTGTGATAATTTTTGCAAATCATCATCATTTTGACACAAGCAAGCAAGCAAACAATTCACACACAATTCATAAATCCGTGCAATGGTGCAATAGTAAACAGTGGCTGAATTTTTCAATAAGAAACAATTGAACGAATGTGAACGACAAAAAAAGCAACAAACCAATGACAATCGCGGTGACAAGACCTTTCGATCCGGAACTTGATCGGTTCATATAGAAATCGAAATTAAAAGCAGAAAAGAAGACAAACACGGAAAAAAGAATACAGAACGAATTTAAAATTACGACCAGACCTACACAGGTCACTGTCGTTTTTTCATCGTGAAACGCATGGTGTGTTTTTGTACGTGTTTTAGATGCAATATTGAATATAGCATAGAATGTGCTGCGTTTGGTGATTTTGTAAGAATGAGAAGCAGTGCTGATTGATTTTTAAGTTGAATGTGTACGGTGACAAGGCAGCAGATGGCTCATTCAAAACAATAGATAAAAAAAAATCGGATGTGATTGTTGTAATAGAGTAAGTGTAAATTTAGACATAAATCTCGCGATTTGACAAGTATTGAAAAATTATGATAGAAATGCCAACAATATTTTCGAATTGAACTACCGAATCCATTGTTACATTGAAAAGTTCCATTTTCAATTCAATTCTCTCATTTTTGTTCTCGAACGTTTTGGGCAATATTATTTTTCGGGTAGTCGACACGACACACAAACACACATAAATACATACATACAGCCATCCATCGGGCCACTTATACACACTCGCAAACGTCATAAGGTGGGCGTTCAACGGTTGCGGCTTTCGTATTACACGTATTTCTTACTAGCCCATCTGTGTGTATGCGAGAGCACAGGGCAATTTTTAGGTTAGAATTTTCGCCTGTGTGCTTCAAATGATCTCATTCAAGCATTGGCATTCATCGTTCACCGAAAAGAAAAAAAATAGTGTTTTCGTCAATGGAACACCGAATTATCGGACAAAAAGTGTTTTTTCATGTTACAAAAGTTCACTTCTAATATTTATCTCGTCTCATTATCTGGAATAAAGCTGTTAAGCTGTTATAGTTCAGCATTTAAAAAACGGAAAAAGTAAAAAATAACACGAACTATGACACCACATGCTGGCATAATATTTATCAATGCGTTCGAGCTCTCTCTCTCTCTCTTTCTCTCTCTCGCTCGCTAGCTCGCTCTCACTGTGACAAATATCGGTACATCGTTCGCGCACACGACACACAGCCGAATTCAACATGGTATTCCATGTTCCTTCCGATTCGTTTCAAAGTACAACCGATTCTCAAAATATTGGAAGTAAAGAGCTCACACAAATATTCATTTGCATGTGTCCTTATCGTCATCGAAGAACTTTCGACTTTGGCATTTTTGAACAATCACCGATATTTACTCCATTCAATGAATCACATTTTTCTTCCATCTTCACAAAGATATGGAATTCCTATCGGAAATATGTATTGCCAAACACTGATTATTATCGACGCAAGCTGCATTGATAAGTCACTTCACTTTCTAGTACTTGTTGTTTCGTTTGCAATCTTTTTTTTTGTCTTTTCGAAATATTCATTCCCAAATTGAGTAAGGCAATCGATTGTTCGACGGAAACAAATATGTTTGTGAAAATCATACATTTGAAGTGTTTTTCCTTCAACAGATGAACTTTTGACTAAAATTCTCATAATGACTGCGCAACAAAGTCGCGAACACAACACTTTCCAGATATTCTCTTACACAATTGACGTACGTTTGATTATGAAAACAATCAGATTATCTTCGCTTCATTCATATTTGAATATTGACGTCTGGACATTCGGCCCTTTACCGCTCACACACCACCAGTTGTCATGCAAATCGAATTCACATGGTTCTCTTTTGGACGCGTTTCGCTCACAATTCTCTACCAAAACTGCGTTGAAATATCCATCAAAGTAGCCGCGTGAAACCAGAACGATTGCCTTGGCATGAATATTCATCACGATTTTTCCGTTTTATTTCGAATTGAAAGTTGCGTTTTTCACATCGGACGAAATGACCGCTCATGTGATTATTATGAAATAGACATATTTGATGTTCTTTCTCTAATTCGAATTTATTTATAAAGATTTGTTTTTTTTATCGTTACATAACTGAAAAAGTGTCAATGATTCCACATTCTGTCCACGGCTTATTTCCCTTGGGTCTGATTACATTCTTCAGGCAAAACCGCAAAGTCAACGGAATTGTTTCGAACGCATGTTTTTCAGTTTGTTCAATGAATTTGATTAGGAGCATATTTTTGAAAACCGATAAAATCAAAAATGCTGATAAGGCATATTGATGATGCAGTAAAAGAAAATTGAATGAGCCTGAAATTCGGTTCGAATTTGAGGTCTCAATGAAATCTGCACCAATGCACCCATTCAAAGTCATTTCGATGTTAAAATCACAAGGCGCTTGTATTTTTGTCTGTAAGAAATGCCCAATGTGTAATAGGCAACGTTAGCAAGTAAAATGCACACAATATTGTAGCTGAAAACAAAAATCAAAACAAACAAATGACGAAAAAAAAATCGATAGCGAAAAAAGAAAAAAACAAAACAAAAAAATGACAGAGAAGAAAAAAATAAGAGTAAATGTCTCGGTTGATTGTAGTAGCTTTTATTATCGAACAAACCGAACTCGAGATATAGCGTTTTCTTTGCAGGGCTATTCTGCGAAAAATGAATACGAGTTCTTAGATCTTTCTGATGTTGACGATATTGAACGAACACGGTTGTCATCAGCTTTGTTGCATAAACAACAACAAAAGCAGCAACAGAAGCATCAACCACAACTGCAACCATTCGATAAGCATGAACGAGCTTCATTGATAAAGCATGATGCTGCAGATGTTCAATCACGTATTAGTCAATCCACCACTTCTACGGATAGTGAATGTCAAATAGTTTCAAACGACAACCGCAACATTCAATCAAATTTAAGTTCTATTAGTTCGACCCAAAATGCGACCTCTGGTAAGCATTCAATGTAAAATTAAAACAAAACCAAAAAAAACACCTAATAGTTCAATAATCTCACACACACACAAAAAAAACGTCAAAATAAAATCAAAGCAGAAAAAAAATCAAATTTTCCAAGAAAAAAGAGAAGAAAAACAACACACAATCGGCCACAAATTTCACAAGCCACACTGTTTTCTTTAGTTTCCATTTACTTTATATTTCATTTCTGTTCCAAATGTGTGTTGCACTAAGATTCAATTTTAAATTTTTATTCAATCAATGCAAACGCATCAAATCATTCTCTAAATGCAAACCATGCATTCGTTCTGACAACGAACGCCTTATTTATTTTTGTAATTTTTTTTTTTTTGCTAATTCTCTTTAGATTCATATTTTTTTTTGCTTCTTTATCAATATGTGTTCTTTATTTTTCTAATTAGTAATTAACGGAACGCTCTTACACTCAAACCATTGTTTTATTATTGAACTAATGAAGCGTAAAATAAAAGCGGATTGAGAATACATTTTTGCAGCATCAAATTGTTTATTATTTCATTTACGTATGCTGATTATTGCTTGTGATAAAATCAATTCATCAAGTTGAACTATGTATTAATTGAAAGACATCACCAAATATGACCAAGGCAAACCAAAAAAAAACACCAATGGATTTGTCGATTTGGAATATTGGCATTTGGCATTTGTCTTTCGATGTCAGTCTTTTTTTTTCTGTTTCTCATGTAAATCGTAACTAAGTCGTTTTTTTTCCTTTTGTTTTCCATTTTCCAAAACGAAAATGTGCATCGTGGTACAACGCAATTTTGTGTTTTACATTCCCGTTTCGATGTACATTTACTGACTAGATTTCTGATGATTTTCGTCGTCAGCCATTTTTTTGTGTTATTTTTTGTTTCAAATGAGCAACGCATTAACATTCTTGTTATATTACGCACAACTTTAAATTCATTGTGCTTTGACATTATTTTAATTTAAACATCATTTTTCCGCTCTCTTTATTTTTCTCATTTTAAACACGAATTTGTTGTTGACATTTCAATGTAGATTTTTTTCTATCATTCGTATTTTGTTTTTCAATTTGAAGAAGAAGACGAAGAAATAAAAGTGATTTAATGAAATAAAAAAAAATGTGTTCAAATATTCTGTTGTTACAGTAACGAATAGTAATCTGGCGGAAACGAAGCAAATTTTCCGACTTTCATATAAAACACTGTCGAAACAAAATCAGTCGAAGAAGGAACAAATGCCGAAGATGTCGCCGCACGTAAATTCACAGGAAGATTTAACGTCCCAACAGGCGCAGAGCACACCGAATCAACAGGTGCAGCAGCAGCAGCAGCAGCAACAGCAACAAACTCAGTTGCCGGTGCAATCGGGAAATAATCAATCGATACCATCACAGTCTGCGCAACAACCCCAACAACATACACGTAAGCAATGCATCGATTTGTACAAAGAAATTTTCAGTCTCTTGCACATGCTGTCAATTAACCCTCTCTCTCTCTCTCTCTTGCTCCCATTTCATTGGTTGTTGCTTTTTCTTCTTGTTGTATTTGTAGAGCCAACACCTCACTCACAAAATCAAAACCAGCCGATACAGCAGCAGCAGCAACAACAACAACAACCACTTCCTCCTCAACCGAACCATCCGACTAATAACTGTGAGCAACTTCAATTTTTTTCTCATCGGTTCTTGTCCTATAATCAATATCATTTTCATCGTATTCTTTTTCTTTCATCTCGTTCGTTAGCTGCTAGTAACATTCCTTCCCACAATGTTCAGTCACACATTTACCCACAGTCACAACAGTCATTTGTGCCGAATTATTTACCTCACATGGGTCAAGTGTCCGCTGGTAATTTTTATCATCTAACGCCACACATACCGAGCGTATATTTTAGCAATTTCACCGCCAACGTTAATGTTCATGGGTACACACAAACGATGCAACCGCCATATATACCAGCAAATTATGTTCCAAATGATAATCATCAAAGCGAACAATCGACACATCCGATCCAATCACAGCCGCATTATCAGCCAAGAACGCGACGAAATGGCCGACGCGGCGGTGGCAACAATGGTGGATACTCACGGCGTGAATTCTCATCGCGACAAATAAACTCGGTTCAGGAAATCAACTCCGCACAAACGTCAACGCATGCAATTGACTCACCAGTGATGCAACAGTCATCCAACTATGGTCCATATTACATTAATCCATATGTCGGTATTTATCCGAATCAATTTGCCATCGGACATCATTCGACAACTGCCGCTCAACATGCCACTGGTACACCACTATACGGCTATGGATATCCAGCATATCATCCGGGCATCATTTATCCGGCTGCTGTTATGCCAGTCGATTATGTTCTCGACGAAAAATCAGACGATGGAATGGGGGTGAGTGAAGCAAAAATGTAGTAAAAAGGGGACAAATCAATCCAAAATCCAATAAATTCGATATTTGTGATCGAATATTCTAATTCAAAATAAAATCACATTCTAATCGAATGGATTTCGATTTTTCTCACGATTTTTTTTTCTTCAGCAGGAGCAATTATTGGAGTATCCTCAGGGACAAGTTGATCCACAAATGCATCAGCCCATTGAAGAATATTTATCGAATCAAGCGCCGGCGATACCTCCTCAAAACGACTTTAGTACTCAACATGGAAATGAAGAATTTGTGATGAGACAAGCGAATGAGTTTATCCCTCAGCATAAGCAGCAACAGCTACAACCAAATGAATATATCGGTGAGTTGAATTTGGCTTTTCATTCAAATAATTCAATGCGTTTTGCATGTGCAATTGTGCAATCACTTAACGTTGATATTCGTTTCTCTTTTCATTCGCTTTAACAGTAGTCGATCATCATTCACCGCATTTGAATGAGTTTGTGGCACCACCTCAGGAACAAAACATACACCATCAGCATCAACATCAACCAATGGTAGAACCAGAAAAAGTTAACGAAATTCCTATTCAAACCGAAATTAAACAGGTAATTGTTTCCACCGTCTTTTTTTTACTGAGATATTGAATAACGATAAAGAGACAGAGAGATCTCTGAATAAAATCTAAACAAAAACTAATGGGAAAATCCATTAATTCTCATTTCCAAAGGAGCATTCGATGCAATCGCACATCATCAATCGAGATAATAATCGGAATAATGAACACATTTATGACAATGCTCAAGCGCCTAGCTTTGCAAATATTCTAAATGATTCGCATACGGTGAACGAAATGGCCATTTCATCCGAGATGAAGAATGTTTTGAATAATTCTGTGCCAAAAAATCAACAAACCATTATGTTGCAGCCGTTGGTTGATACAAATGAAAATAATATCGTATCAAATAGCATTGGTGATGGACCGACGCTGACGCAATTGCCACCACCACCACAACAGCAACAACAACAGCAGCAACAAATTCAGACGCAACAAAAGCCAATTGCACAGGCCAATGGTTCAATCAATGGGCTTGTACAGACAATGAATGAAAAATTGGTGGTGCGCACCAATAGCAAAGCTCAACAAACACCAACGACGGCCTGGTCAATGAAAAAGAGCACACAATCGGTTGCTGTTTCCGTTGTGCCGTCAAACAACTATCCACACAACGAAGTGCATGCAGCAAAGCAAAATGTTTTAGGTAGTAACAATAATAATAATATACCGATAGTGCCAAAAGTAGAAGAACAACATCAACATCAACATCAACATCAACATCAACAACAGCATCAACATCATCACCATCATCACCATCAGCAAAGCTCAAAGGTGACGGCGACCGCTGCAACAATAGCTACGGAAAAATCGGTTCAATCAAGTCCAGATATCACAACAACGCAACAATCATCCGAAGTGCAAACCGTTCCTGTATCGGATATGCAACCAGAAGAGCCATCGATATTTGCCAACAACAATAACACCAACAACATCAATAACAATGCCAGGTAAATTGAGGCTACTTCCGATAAGTCAATTTTTTCAATTTTATTCGTAACGATTGACCTTTAACATTGTGAATGTCAAATTTACAGCAATCGTAGTGAAAATTCTAAAACACCCGCCTCGCAATCGATTCCACAAGCGCAAGCGTCAGCTCCAGCACCAAATAGCTGGGCATCACTGTTCGCTCCAAAAGAATCGGCCAGTTTGGAATCACAAAAAAAACCAGTCGCTAAAGTATCACCATACAACTCGAGTCAAGAACCAAAACCAAGTAACCCACCACTTCGAACAACACCACAATCCACCACTAATGCACCAGGTAAATCCACGTTATTCGACATCAACTCCTGATGTGAGGCTAAAAATGTCGACCATTTTTTCTAACAAAATCTGTTTCCATTCTTTAGTTTTGTCTTACTCATCAGCGGCTTCATCTACAGCTAACGGAAGCAAACGACCAACACCAGCCAAAGCACGTGTTGCACCATCAGCAAAACCGCCACAAAATAGCTCAGAACCATCCGTTGATGAATCATCATATAGATTAGGAGGTAATTTATTCACACTCCATTCGTTAGCTCAGCCATAGTCGACTATAAGTGTGTGTCACATGGAGTCAGCAAATTACACTAAATTCCATGTTGTAATCAGCGTTACACCTGTGACAGATTAATTTCAAGCCATATGTGCAATCCTTGCGAAACTGTTCTAGTGAGCGAGATCATTTGTACGGCTTTTAACGATTTTTCTCGAGAGTTGATGTTCGAACCATTTTCCCATTCGTGGGAAAGCTATCAATTTTGAACATCTTAGTTGAGAAATCGACAGAACACCCATTCGAAAGACCCAATTTGTGATCATTTTAATGGAATATTCATATGGAGTCAGCAAGTTATTAATATTTTCAATAAAATAATTAGCGTTACACCTGTGATAGAATAACTTGAATCTTACCATGGAAAATGTACTGTGGCACTGTTCTAGTGTCCGTTCGCAATTTGTCAAGGTTCATGCGTTTTTTCTCGAGAGTTGATTTGCATCTTCGATGAATAGTCGTGATCAGTATACAAAATCTTAGTTGAGAAATCGATAGAATTCCTATTCAAACTCCGTCTTTTTGAGCTTAGTTCAACGGAATATTCACATGGAGTCAGCAAATTACACTAAATTCCAAGTTGTAATCAGCGTTACACCTGTGATAGATCAATTTCAAGCCATATGTGCAATCCTTGCGAAACTGTTCTAGTGAGCGAGATCATTTGCACGGCTTCTAATGATTTTTCTCGAGAGTTGATGTTCGTACCTTTTTCTCGTTCGCGGGAAAGCTATCAATTTTGAACATCTTAGTTGAGAAATCGACAAAATCTCCAGTCGTAAACCTTCTTATAAGTTTAGTTGAATAGTTTACTCACATGGAGTCAGCAAGTTATTGATCTTTTAAATGAAATAATTAGCGTTACACCTGTGATAGAATAATTTGAACTTTACCATGGCAAAATGTACTGTGACACTGTTCTAGTGCCCGTTTGCAATTTGTCAAGGTTCATGCGTTTTTTCTCGAGAGTTGATTTGCATCTGCGATGAACAATCGTGTTCAGTATACAAAATCATAGTTGAGAAAACGACATACCACCATCTTACTCTAAATGTTAGATTTAAAATAGAAAATAGACTTTAAATCGTTCCATTTCACAAGAATACCATAAATTAATCAATTACCTCCCCGTTTTGTTCTCTTTCATCACAGATTTTATCTTAAAATACAAAGTCGACAATAACTCAATTAGTCTGCGACCGCGTGGTTTAACGAATCGGTCAAATTATTGTTATATCAATGCGATATTACAAGCTCTATTGGCATGTCCACCGTTTTATAATCTTATGAAATCAATACCATTGGATGCGCCAGTTCAACGTTTCAAAACGAATACACCAACCATTGATGCGGTGCACGAGTTGGTGCGTGAATTTTCCAATCTGCCAAATGGTTCGCGGCTGCATCGTCGCGATAAAGGTGGAAATAAAAAGGAGGATGTCACATTTGAACTAGTCACCGATTCATCAATCGAACCGACCGCAATACACAAACTCTGGAACAGCACACGAAACGACAATGAAGGTCGACAAGAAGATGCTGAAGAGTTTTTAGGATATGTTCTTAACAAATTAAACGATGAAATGCTTGAGGTAATTCCCATGAACTATGGCTTTTCTTTCATTCGAGATTTTTTAAATGAGTTTTTTTTAATGCAGTTGAAAAAATTGGTTGAAAAACCAGCCGAACCCGTACCAAATGGAATTGAAAATGGTGATGGTGCTGATGATGAAGGAAATGAATGGCAGGTAAGAGTCAAAGTATAGAAAAATGCGTATTTTTTTCGGTGTTAACTGGTTAGTAATCGGAATTAATGGTTGATTTCAGTTGATTGGAACGAGGAACAAAGGTGCTGTCACAAGATCAACAGATTTTGGTCGGACACCTCTCAGTGAAATTTTCCGCGGTGAACTAAGATCACGTTTACAACGTGAAGGTGATCACCCTTCAACCGATGTCATGCAACCATTCTTTACACTTCAACTGAACATTGAGGTTTGTGTCCGTTTTGTCTTCATATCCCGACGATTTTACGTCAATTGACCGACACCATTTCTTACAATGTGTTCATTTATTCAATTTATAGAAAGCGAATTCGGTGAAGGAAGCACTCGAGAATTTCGTGAATAAGGACCAATTAGAAGGAGTCACTTGCACCAAAACAAATCAAGAGGTGAACGCTTGGCAGCAAATGACTTTGGAAAAGTTGCCGATTGTATTGATTCTACATTTGAAATGGTTCGATTACAAAGGCGACGTTTGTACAAAAATACTTAAGACTGTTGATTTCCCCATTGAATTAAAATTGGATCCAAGTAAGTGACCTTTGCTCATTTAACCGTTCAACTCTTTTTCCTACTTTCGATGGAGCCACAAACTAAAATCCATTGATATCTATTCAAATTCGCATAGAAATCTTATCGTCAAAGAAATACACGGCCAAGCAACGACAATATCGATTATTTGCGGTTGTATATCACGATGGTAAGGAGGCGTCTAAAGGTCATTACATAACAGATGTTTATCACACTGGGTACTTAAACTGGATTCGGTACGATGATAGCACGGTGAAACGAGTTAGTTTGAAGAATGTTTTGCATCCGAATACACCACGTGTACCATATCTACTATATTATCAGCGAATGGATACGATACCAGCACCGGCCACCAACAGCAATACAAATGCCACCACCAATGCTCATTCACACAAATAAATTGCCAGCCAATTTTTGAGTTTAATAATGTCATTTGTACTTGTTGGAACGAATTGATGCGAGGGCCGACGGTTGCCGGCCCCAATTTGCCTAAACGACTTCTTAAAAAAAAAATTTTTTGAAAGAAAATGAGTTACATTCGGCATCGATTTCCAAGCGCAATTTGGCGGGTTCTATTTCAATTTTCGTAAAAAAAAACAACAATTTCGATTGTGACTGTGACAAAATAGAAAGAAACATTTTTAAATTAAATACATGATTAAATTGCAAGTCAAAAGCAAATCATTTGATAGGTAACTGGAAACGATACACGCTGAAACAGATGTATTCGTGCAAGTGTAAAAGATTACACGTTATTCATGTTTAGTCTTTTGTTCTTAACTATCATATTATTTTTAATATTATTAATTTTTTTTTTTCGATCGCATCATAAGTTTAAAGAATATTATTGGAAGTATTTGAATTTTTTTTTTCTCCTCCAAATTTCGATTCTCTCATTCTACGAATAAAGAATATGATTGACACTGTCAAGCAAAACAAAAACTGAAAAGAAATAGCAAGAAAAAAACGTCGTATAACTGATGCTTAGCTAAAATAGAAAGAGAAAGTCGTAGAGAAATTGCGCCGTTTTTCTAAAACATCGGACAAATATTGGCCGAATCGCGTTTTAGAGCTGGTGATATCAATGGCAGCAACGTAAAATCAAGCAAACTGGAATTCAATTTTTGAGCACATAGATCAAAGATGGAACAAACAAAAAAGTGAAAAGAAATTACAAAAAGAAATCATTGTTATCACAAATGAAACAACAACAAAAACACACACACCTAGCAACATGTAAATTTGCAACACCTAAAATCTAAAGACAAACAAAACTGAAATGTAATTTTAATGAATTAATAATTATTATTATTTTCGTCATCAACATATGGATGGACTAATTAATATATAGTTTATAAAACTTAGTTGTTATTTATGAAAAAAAAGGAGCGGTGATGAAAATGAAACGAAAAAAAAGAAGAAGGTGAAAAAATGATTTCGAATTAGATTTGATTTTCGAAACAGAGACATAAAGAATAAAAACTGAAAATTACTGTGTAAGAATGAATTAAAAGCAGCGTCTTAGCTACACAAAGGCTAGAGCGTACACACATCTGTGGAAAAAACAACAACAAAAAAATTGAGCAAAAACAGCTAACAAATCGATAGTGGTTCGAAAGACCAAATTTGAAGCGTTTTTTTTTTTAAATATTTGATTTAAGTTGAGAAAATGAGTTTTTTTGTAGTCCATTTTTCACAACACACACTCACGCGCGTTAGGTAAATACTAAAAAGAAAGTTTTCTTTTGTGAGAAATACCCATTGGATAATTAAATCATTATATTTTTACGATAAAATTTAAGGCATACAAAATAAGAACCAAGAAAAAAATCACACGAGAATATATAAATATATTCACATGGCGCATATAGGTAGAGAGCCTAGTTGCTTTTCTAATAACGAAACAAACACATATTTTTTCTCGTATTTTTTTCTAAAAAAACATTTTCTCGTCTTCACATAGCGCATGAATTTAACATTTAAAATTAGATATTGGTTTAAGTTGTTATTTTTGTTATTTTCATGAAGAGAAAAACCAATCAGTCTGACAAATTCAGATTAGGTAATTCTGGGTGCTAGACATCAAGTCACGAATACTCGAAAGGAATCTATCGAAAAATGTGTGCATCATGCGTCGTAATACAGATTGTGTATCTGCTTTTTTTTATTTAAACCTAAACCAGAGAAGATAAGAAAAGAGTGGGTTTTTCGTTGATTTGGTGTTTAGCTACCGGAATGGAATGTCGTATAACACATTAAAGCACCAAAAAAATGAAATCTAGAGGTAATTTCGTTTTCATAGACACACACACACACCCACACTGCGCAGGAAGAAACACACAAAAAAATGATGCAAAAATATTTAATCGATTTTATTAGTTGACCTAATTAATAACGATCCTTTCTAATGTGTAAGAGATTGCGGTGTAGATTGCACTGCAGCAATAAATAAACAAATACAAAGGGACGAGAATGAAAAAAAAACAATTAGCATGGCGCAAACAATAGACAACTTCCCGCCCAATTACATGGAAAGTCGCAGCTACCAAAAAGAATACTGGAAACATACTGGTGTACTGATAGAGAAAAAAAGGAAAATGAAAACAGAATGTGTACGCAATAAACTGTAAAATGAAACGAATTTTCTATAGGAACAATGCATAACAAAAAAAATAATGAAAAAAAAATTAATTAAGAAAAAAAAAAAACCAAAAAAATTATCTAAATGATGAACAACAAAAAGCGGTCAATGACAGATAGCTGAGGATATATGCTGAGCATAGAAACTCAGTAAGCTGAGATTAGGACATTTTGACTTTATGACGTGTAGTCCATACGAATTTATAATGCCACGCATACAATTTCGTGCATTTCATCATGCATTTGTATGGACTACACGTCATAAAGTCAAAATGTCCCAATCTCAGCTTACTAAGTTTCTATGCTCAGCATATATCCTCAGCTATCTGTCATTGACTGACAAAAAGTATATTAAAACGAATGAAACAGAAAATCAATATTAGTGGTGAAATAACAAACAAACAAAAAACATCTAACTAAAATTAAATAAATTTATAATGACAGATAAAGTAAGGATAGTGTGTAAAGTTTTAGCGAATTTAAGTTGTGTCGAGGTCGTTGTTCATTTTGTAATTTGGGTTTTATGTTTGACATGTTCCGCATTCGTGGGACGTGGGGAGGTGATTCACATGGGTGAACGGTAGCCCCACCATTGTGAAGCAGGAACATTATCGACACTGAAGAAGAGAAAGAGAAAAACAAAACAAGCAACATAAATGGAGCATTATCAATTATTTAAGTACACTCTACTAAGCAAGACAAATCAACGTGTTTCTTTTTTTTCGTACCGTTTTTTTTCTGTTTGTTTTCTCTAAATCTTTCACCTAAAATGGAAAACAATGAAAGTGTTATAGTTTGTTATCTTATCAAAATGGAAAAAAAATTATGAAAAAAAAATAACTAGGAGAGGAAGAAATTCTATTAAAGGGTTAAATATGATTTATTATGATTGTAATTACATATTATTATTGCATATTTTAAAATCATGCAGAAATAAAACACACACACACATTTTCTACATTGATATAAGTGATATTAAAAGTTTAGTGAAAATTGTTTAGCTTTTCAAAATGAGCGGGCGATGGAAAATGAGCAGAGAAATAAAATTTTAATTCATTTTCATAGAAATAAAATTAAACAAACAAACAAACAAACAAACAAAAATGAAGAAGACGAAGAGGAGAGAAGGATGAAAGAGTGGCCGTCATTGAAGCCATTACAAACGGCAATATATCATCAAATTAAGCAAATTTTGTACGATACCTATTTTACTACAGACATTTAATATTTAGAATCGAGGTTGAAGCAAACAAAACCTTCTGAACCAATGCTAATGCGGACTAATGCAACAACAACATGAAACACTGTATGAAATAAACAAATCAATAACTGTGTTTCTTTTTATTTTCCACATCAATTGGTGACAAGAGCTGAGAAAAGGGATCTCTAGTTGTTGGTATATATCAATTTGTGCGATTGTCCACTCAATTTGGATGCAATCAAATGAAATGGCGTTGAATAACGTAATTCTTATGAATCGTTTAGTTAAATTTTTTTAATCATGGATACTAAACAATGCATTTGAGTGGCTCACACAGAGATGATATCATCGTACGACTGAAGCCCTGAATAGTTCTAATCAAAAACCGGTCTTTTCACATCATTTTGAACATACATCATTATAGCAAAACTACATATTGTATATCGATTGCCTGAGTGAATTAAAAAAACAAATCTTTTTGATTTGAATCCTCCCATAGTTGAAATGCATGACCGTCTCTCAGAACATTCTATGTGACCAATAAATAGAGACAAAACAAGCACACACACAAAATTTAGAGCTAATTTCGAATGGATTGTTTCAATTTAATAGAATAAATCCAAAACAAATAATACAAGAAACAAACAAAATAGAAATATTGAACATGAAAGAGCCTACAAATCATTAACATGCAATTGGATATTATGAGTGTATGGGACAAAAACCAACATGAAATGCAAATATGGTTGAAATTATGTGATCTTTGAAATATGTTTGATGTCATAAAAACAGATCCGATAGATGAACGACACGATCACCTGAATTATTTATTCGATTGTCCGATGCAAATCGACGTGCGTGCACTTGCTGAAAACAATCTGAATGTGTTACAAACCACAATAAATTACGGAATTATTTTCTATGTTTCATTTTTATAATTTTATTTTTTTTTTCGTTTGACGTTTTCTTATGTGGAGAACATTTTTACGATATGATAAGTTTGCAATAATATTACACCAAAAAAAAAGAAAATGTGGAAGAAATTAAAAATCGACATATTTAAAAAAAACCAATCCAATTATTTCATTTTAGTTGCAAATGTGAATGTCGTAGTGCATTTTAGAACGAAAATGAACGCAGAATAAAGAGAATGTATCGTTGGAAATGCCTTGACGAGATCAAAACGAAAAATCAATAATAGTTTGATAACAGTTTGTAAAATACAATGCTCAAGAAGTGCGCGCAGGCGACGGCAATAAGAGTTGGGATTTTTTTTTATCCATTTGTTTTTTAAAAAAAGAAGAAAAAATCGGTTGATTACATTCAATGCGTTGTCTCACTGATTTAAATCAGTTTTCGTACCGAATAAACCAAAAAGAATATATTTCACAGCAGAAACATTCTTCTGTATACGTAATCGATTTTCAAGAATGATCGCGAGTTATTTTATTTTGTGAATTCTGAAGAAGAAAAAACGAAAAATCACACAATTTTATTCCGTTCTCATCGTATAAACAGCGAAAATGATAGGACATTAATAGTTTTTCTTTCTAAATAAATCATTATTGGCTGTGTAATTCTAATTGATTTGCGACATTTTTCCATCACCTCATCAAGTCTATCTACAAATTGATTTCAACGCAACCATTCTAATTGATCATGAGCCTTTCGAGTCATTTCTTTGGTCTAAAACGAATATTTTGCTATGGCAAATGCAAACATCATTTATCACAAATTTCTAAGCATTCATCTTCTCAAATCTTAACCATCAAAATTAGCAATCGCCTTATAAAATCACTCAAAATTAGGAATCATATGTTGGATTGCTGCGATAAAATTGCAGCCTAAACACGATGCTTGCAGATTTCAATGAACAGCACGTATTAAAATCAACAACATCAAATAGAACTCACGACAAAATTTCTAAATCGAATAGTCCTTTGTGTCTGAAAATATTTGATGAAAGAAAAAACTGCAAAATGTCTTCTATTTTCTCATTTTATCTAACAATCAAGGCTCAAATCGAATTTAATACATATAAAATTTACAAATAAAAAAAAACGGTCCAAAATAATATGTCGATTTGGATAAAGAGGATACAAAGAGAGGAATAAGAATAAGATGCCTTGATTGGTACGTGAGTGTGCTTCCGTTGAAAAAATGAAAAAAAAAATTTCCCAATGTGTGAGACCTCGAAGATTGTTTTTTTTTTATTTATAATAAGTTCATTGCATGCATATAATTTTTTTGACTCACGAGGCGTATAAATATAAAAAAAATATATATGTAAAATGGGAGGGGAAAAGTAAATAAAATACTAATATGAAAATAACACTAACCAAAATGGAACTAATAAGTGCACTTATAAATAGAAAAACAAATACAACAATGAGAAGCAAACAATAGCTGAACATAAATAAAATGCTTTAAAATTAATCGAGAATAGATAGCAGTCATGGTGACAGCGATCATTTGAGCTGCTATT